GGCGGGGGGGCCCGGCGGAGGCAGCTCCACGGTTCTACTGTGGAAGGCTTCGCCTTTGGAGAATACAGCCCGGGGGCTCCTGGTAAACGGACTATGTATGCTGTTCTGGAAAGTTGGTTTTGTTATATAAGTTAAAAAAGATATTAAAAAAAAAAAAAAGACAATTTCCCTCCCCAAAATTAGTAGTTGTTAGTATCTGAGAGGCGAACTTTGGTTTATGCAGCTTAATCTTTCTTAGCTTTTATTTGAAACTTCGTAAAAATAGCAAAACGTGTTCCTGTGGATCAAACAAAAAGCTTAGACGAATAAAGTTACCACTGCACTTAGGCACAATGTGCATTTTGAAAGATGCGCCTTTATTTGTGGATTTTATGCCCTTAAAAGTTTTTATTTGTATTATTTTCTCCTGTCCTGGCTAGTTGCAGATACTGGGAATAATATAAGCCCCTTATTTTTAGATACTGTAAGTACATCCCTAAGGTACTGTAACTTTGCCTGTGCAGCCATGCAGCAGCACTTGTTCAAGGAATTAATACTTAATAGTAGCATTAAAACTATTTAGTCACTGTTTATTGCATGAGGAGCTCGCCAGCGGGTATAGTCATGACGAGTAGGCTGTGACTGTTGGCTCAACCAGGAGACCTCTCTGGATTTTCTCACAGGAATGACAGAAGCAAGAGGAGGTCTAGATGAATTATTCTGCTGTGCTACGGTTTATGGACCTCAGGCTGGGAATTTATCTTTGTACAGATTATTTACATGGTCCTAAAGCCTTTGTTGCAGCAAGAGGTAATACATAGTAAATATTTAATGTGGTTTACAAAAAAAAATATAAACATTGTAATTAATGTCAGAAGGATTTGAATGATTTATTGTCATTTAGAAAACTTCGATTGTTTATAAAACATGGGACAAATACTCTAATTTCCAAAAATTAGAGATGCTTGTAAACCAGTAGAAAACTAATATTCACATTATTGTTCCTTATACATAATGCATTAATGAAAATGTAAAGTATTTTTTTCCTTTGATTTTTCTGCAAGTTTTGAGCATAGTCTTGAAATATGTTTTGCTATTTCTTAACAGGCTTTTCTTCTCCGGGGATAAAGCCATGGCTGAAATGAGTGATAGCAATTTAGATAAACCAACCATTATTCAGCAAGCAATAGCCTCTTGTTGTGGAGCTATAATTACATCATTATTTGGTAAGGCAAACTATCAAGCTTGCCACAGAGAAACTTTGCAAAGTGATTACTCTTCAGTTTGACTCAGCATGATGTCTGCATATATACAGTTTATAAATTTCCACTAATACATTCAACAAGGATGGTTTTGGATAGTTTTCTCTCTTTTTTTTTTATTTTAACAAACGTGGTTAATTGAAATCTTTTGTGTCCCTGAGAATCTTTAACCATGTCTGAAAATAATATTAATTTTATTAACTTTTCATTTCTATGTCTTTTTTCCTCTTGGTGTAGTAATTGATTGCTTTCTTTCTACAGGAAACAAAATTAAGAATAAAAATTAATTTCCATACTTCCTGCTGGTTAAAAAATAGATTTTAAATAAAAGTCTACTTTACAGTACAAGACCCAAATTCTGTGAGGCTGTCCTCTGTGAAATGTCCCCTTCATGTTACCCTTCAGCAGTAACACTAATCTGCTGTGATGTCTTACACTGTCAAAGCTTTTTATTGTTCCTCCCCCTAGCCCCCCTAAACATTGCTTTTAAAGTTAGCTTTTTGTTTGTCTTTTAGACTTCTGGATAGTCTGCAGAATTCATCTGCTGCTTTATATTCAGTCATCTTGCTCAGGACCTCCTTCTCTATGCATACGTAAGGAGGCATTGGTTGGTTAGATTCAGCACTTCATGTTCCTTGGAGTTCTCCAAGCTCACTAGTGTATACTTCGTATTTCAGTTACTTTTTGGCTTAGCTGTTAGTTCTGACTTTTAACACGGATTATGCTGCAGGGTAATGTGCAGTTTTCTAAATGTGATTTTTTTCCCCCCCACAAAATTTCCAAATTTTTACAGAACAGGATCTTACCAGGAACCTGTTAAATTCAGTCTTTTTACTATCCGTCCTGTGATGATAGGTAAAGTAGCAAGCAAAGCTACATCAGACCTGTGGATTTTCCAACAAGGATTTCAACTGTGTGTACATAAGATGCTAATACAGTGTAAAGTGTTGGTATTTGAGACCTCAAGAGGTATAGGAGACTGGCTCCTTTCTGAAGTGGTAGCTGGGAGACGAGGCAGAATATGTGTGAGCAGCTAAAATGCTACTAGATGCCAAACATTAAGCCTCCGAATTGAGCTGTACGAGTCACATTTATATCCGTACGTTTAGATACGGAAATATCTGAATATTCAACCTCCTGTTAGTCAACTGAAACATCAGTAGAGAGCTAAGGTGTGAGTTGGTTGCCTGTGCATAGGACCGTGTTCAGTGAGACGTGCTAGATAGAGTATTTGACTTAGCCTTTAGCTGCTGCTTAGTAAGTAAGGTTGTAGAGCCTGTGTCGTTTCTGTCAACTGTGTAGGTATTTTGGATACCTTAAAGACTCAGATGGCACTAGCTGCTTGTATGCAGGGAACTGAATTGAGCCCTCAGTCAATATAATCAGCAGAGGCTGGTCACTGTAGTGTTCAGCATGTCTAGGCCTGTAATAATTGTAAGGGCTGGAGGGGAAGCAATGAAATGTTCACTAAACCTTCATTTACTTTTCTACAGCTCTAAAGTTTTAGATCTTGTCTACACACAGCAAAGAAGGGAAGTACATCATGAGTTTAACGTTTTTCTTTTGAACATTGCTATTACAGTCAGTTTATTGGAAAAGAATAAACACATGAAAAATGCTGTAATATTTTGCATGCTTGAGGCCAAAATCTGATCTCATGCCTTGTGGTATACTGCTCATAAAATGTTAGCAGCAGAGCAAAATAGCACAGGTTTTAGCACTTTCAGACAAGATGACAATGGTTTTTGGATGAGCTTTGTGTATCTCTTAATATTTGTTGTCTGTGCAACTGTTAGTAAATTAAAAAAGATACATATGGTCACTTGCAAACCATACAGGATTTGTAGTTCTCCTTTTTTCCTCTGCCTGATAACGTTGTAAAAAGTTAGAAGTCATAGAAGTTCATGGTGAGGCATGTGTACAGTTCTACATTTTCAGGGCATGCAGGGTGTTTCTAAATTACTTCTGTTTCATTTTAGTAACTCCTCTTGATGTTATCAAAACTCGACTGCAAGCCCAAAGCAATCCATTCTCCAAAGGTAAATAAATGCATAGTGTAGTGGAGGACACAGTTTGCTTTTTACTGTTGTATTTAGCTGATAGTTACCATAATGCTGAGCTACAGAATGTTTTCATTTGTTTCGCAATCGTAAGTGTGTGGGGGAAGCAACAGAACAATATATGCTGAAATTGCTAAAGAATGTGCCAGTGAACAGACACAATGGAAAAAAAAAAAAATCCCATAATTACAGAGCATTTTAAATGGGCTTTCGTGGCAGAAGGTACAACTATTACTGAGTTGAGCTTAAAAAAAAAAAGCTATCAATAAATAACTAAATATTTCATCAGAGGGCTTATGTAATCAGGCTGCTATACCAAAGTTCATCTCCTCCAAAATCCAGAGGCCTTTGAAAAACAGTAGTAAGTCTTATCTAAGTCACTTGCCACTTGGTTTCTAAATAGATTAAGACATTGCGCACTCAAAGATATACCAATGATTCCTACTATTTAGTTGTAATTAATAAATGAGATTTAAAAGGAAAGGAGATGACTGGTGCTCCGTTTTGTATGTGGAGATGAATATTTGCAGTCACACTTGTTGTAAATCAAGAAAAATACTTGTGCCTTCTATCCTTTTTTTTTAGTAAATTCTAAACCCTTCAGAAATCTGAAAATGTAAAGCTCAAGGTATGTTTGTATAATGGCAATAATGTTATATCAAACAGGTTCAAAGTACATGATGTAGAAGAAATCAAAAACAAGTAGAGAGGATGATCTGGTATAAATAGAGTCCAACCCAAGATATAATACTCCCACCTGTAATGTGGATGCTGAGGACACTTAATAAAAGCTTTAAAAGTCTGATGTTCACATAGTTACATACAGTAGTGACATTGAGGTCTTGCGTTGTTTTAGCTTTCAGCAGATGGTAGTATAACTTAAACATGTCTCCTGAAGCCTGTGAGGGCACTTTCATTTAGTTGGGCACTCTGAGGGGTACATTTGTTCCGTCTTTCCTTTTACTTAATTTGCTGTCATTGGCTTTCCAAGATTATTTTGCCCGTCTGTGTCTAACCAGAGATAAATCTGTGTTACTATTATATCCAGTTTGAAATTGCTGCTAAGTAAGAACAATCTTAAAAGCATTAACTGTATTCTTATACACCATTTTATTAGGAAAGTGTTTTGTATACTCCAATGGCCTTATGGATCATATATGTGTTTGTGAGAATGGGAACAGCAAAGCGTGGTATAAAAAACCTGGGCATTTCAAAGGGACGTTGGTAAGAACATTTTACATTTATATAAAACTGTATGTTGAAAACATTTTTAAGTGGCATGCTGGAAATGTATTGTTTCTTTTCAAGTTCTGGTAGAATCCGTTACCATTTCAGAGTGTGTTTGTGTGGTTACACTTTGTAATTTATATGGTGATTAATGATACTTTCTACAAAATACATATTCCTTCCTTAAGGTGAACAAGGGGGCAGCTGCATAGCTGTCCTTGCAGGATACTGGCTCTATGATTTTATTTTCCCTACTTGAGCTGTATTGCTAATAGTTGCTGATTGCAGCTACTGATTTTCTGTACCTGCTTACAGCTCTTCTGTCTGCAGATCTCCCATTATGCTCCTGAGCTGAACTAACAACACAGATAGTGTTTTAAAGTTAAGTTCATGTGTCTGGATCATGTGTTCTGGATCCATTGAAACTTGTAGGACTATCATTTTACCCAGACACTTGAAGCAGACTTGCTGTTGGACACTGTGATGCTTCTTCATTAATCAAGATTTTGTTTGACGCTGACATTAAATTACATATGATCAGGGATTTTTCAGAATTAAATTTCTAAGAAGAATGAAATGTTCGTGCAAAAGGTTTATTGAGCCGTTTTACAGTGTTATTTTTTTAAAAAAATTAATAACTTTGTAAGTTTGAATTTTTCAATTAACTTTACTATATAATTTTTAGAAAGTTGCTTAGTTTTCTAATTGACATGATTTTATGCCCATTTCTGCTGTGACGAGGTGATTCATGAAGACGAATGATTATCACGTCATTGGATCTCCTTTCATTTAAAAAAAAAAAAAAAGACTGCTGGACAATTGTGCAGTAAAGAAAATTGTAGTGGACGTGGCTGGTTTACAGTGATAGGGCTGTACCAATGTTTTGCAGTATCTGCCCATATAATTAGGAAGGTATATAAATATGCTGCTTAGTCATTGAATTTCTCTTTCTTTCCTCCTCTGCCTTTTTTTCCTGCGAGTCCTTTTTGTGGTCTGTCAGGCTCTGTATCTTTTGAGGCCCTCTGACAATGTCTGGTCTTAAGCTTATTCTAATCCATCAAATCTCAACCTCTTCCTCCAAATATCTAAGAAAATTAGGTATCCTGATATTAGGGAGTTTGTCTTTTTGATGGTGACTTCAGTTGAATGACCTTCAAAGTTTAGTGTTCCTCTGCTGTCAGTGGTCTGGGAAATCTATGGGACAGCTGTGATATTAATTGCAAGCCTCCAAGAATATGGTATAGTGTACATACATTACACATATGTGGTCATGTTGTCAGAGAAAGCAAGTAGTGAAGAATCATGGAGAGTTAGTTTCTATTTCGTGCCTAGAACTTTTGTTATGTATTTAAAAAAAAATTTAGTGGATTGTTGTGGGGAAGTTTCCACAAGTTGCTGATATGCTGTATTAGTTCTGAAAATCAGTTATTCACAGGGCTGTCAGTTACTGATAAAATCTTACTACTTTGGTCTTTTAAAGATGGAAGAAAAATCTTAATTTCAGTCACACAAATATTTCTCTTCAGGTCAGTGGAACTATTCATGTGATTAAATACAATAGCTAGTGTTAGCGGTATCAAAATTTGGATCTTACAATGATAAGCCATTTTAGAAACATGCTTTTTAATACATTAATTTTGTGTTCTGCCAGCTAAAATATATTACTGAGTACAAAAGTTTGTAGCTAATTATTGCTCTTTGCCTGGTTGTATTTTTAGGATGCGTTTGTGAAAATTATTCAAATAGAGGGAATTAAATCACTGTGGAGTGGACTTCCCCCAACACTGTAAGTTGAATGTTTGGGGTTTTTTTGTAACGTGTTAGGAATGATTGTTAAAAAAATACTTCATTACTTAGACAAATTATTATGTTTGTTTCTAAGTGATTTTAAAAATTTGGTAAATTCTGAAGTTACAGGTAATGATGTAATCAGTTTGATCAGAAGCATCTAGTCACAGTATAATTTTTGCGACATCTTGAGATTTCTCCTTGCAACTTCTTTGATGTATGCTCAGTAGTTAAGCAGAAACATCAGACTTTTTAGTCTGCCTTGTGGAGATGGTATCCTTATTGTAATCGTCCCCTCGATAGCATCATTGAATCATAGGATCGAAATTGAATGTTAGAGAGTGCTAGGCTTTGATAGATACATGCTGTCCTAGCTTGTTACTAATGACTTGCAATAAGCAACACAGCTGTTTCCACAGACAGTCTACTGTTACACCTTATTACCCTTACTCAATTTTTTTTAAAACATCTAACTAGGATCTTCTTTATTCCAGAATACTTTATTGGGTTTTATCCCATCCAACATTGTCATGGAAAACAGATAATTAATTTTCTCTTTACAAGAGGAATTTACATATTTAAATACTGTTATCAGATCTCCTGGTCTTCACTTCAGGGTAAACAGCACCAAAATGTTTTATCTTTTTATTCATATTGACCTGGTACAGATAGTAATTGATACCTCTATAATTATGTCCTCCTCCATAAACAATCCAGGAAAGTGGTCAAATCTAACACGTGTATTGAAGTTGTATCTTGTAAGACGTGAGGTGTTGCCCAGAGGAAAAGCACTGGTACGTTTTTGATTTGCACACACTGCTCAGTATATAGGCACAAAAAAAGCAAAACGTGGTGCAGCTGCAGCACGTGGCAATTTCAGTATGCAAATCTTGAGGACCTAACTGAACTAAGGGGTCTGTATTTTAGCCATGACAGAGAGGTTTTTTTCTTCAAGTTGTGTTCTGTACTACAGCAGAGAAGAACCAGCTTCTTGATTGGAGAGAAGTACACAGTTTTTAAAAGAAGATCTGAACTGTGGCTTTTTGTTTTTCCAAACATGACAGTCCACTGTTTTTTTGGTAATGGTGGTACATGCTATATTGGCACAGACATAACACAGAAATATAATTGTTATTTTAAAGTAAGATGTGGTACCTTACCCCTTGTTCGGGTTTGACAGAATGAGTATAAGATCTAGCTGTTGTTATTATAGTCTTTACTATGCTGGAATAGAAAAAGCTTATATTTACTCATCCCACATTGTCTTTCAAGTGGTAAGAATCACAAGTGTTGATTAAGATAGAGAAGATACTCTCCAATTGTTAAATTAATAAAAATTTAAGGTTAGTAGCTACTTGCGTAATGTTTTGTTTGGTTGCTTCAAATTAAAATCTTTCAATTCCATTCCTTTATCAAAATAATTCTGGAGCTTGTATGAAATAGATTTTGACTGAGATAATGCGCCATCATTTTCATTAGTTTTTTCTAATGAAATGAAAAATTAGAAAACTGGGAAATTCATGGATTTGAAACTCTGAACTAGAGGCAGGGAATCAAAGCCATGGGATTAATGCTTTTTCTTCATCCATCACACATAGCTGGAGATTTAACTTTTCCTTGTTTAAGCAGAATGTCCATACAAGATGGTTGAATTTATGCTCCTGCTTTCCTTGTATTAATTTAGATTCCCTCTCTTATATTGTAGAATAATGGCGCTTCCTACCACAGTAATCTATTTTACCTGCTATGACCAACTGAGTGAAGCTCTGAAATCTAGACTAGGAAAGGATGATGAACACATTCCAGTTCTTGCGGGTTCCTTAAGCAGATGTAAGTTGTCATCTGTTTAAAGGGAAAACTGAAATAAAATACTCGTATGCTGTTTTCTTGGTTTTATTGTTTTGTTTTGTTTTTAAAGTAAATTTGCTGTGGCTTTAAATTATCTGGAATAATGTGATTTATTTTTGCTGTTACACTTTCACTACATTCATAATTTGTTCAAAATTTTGTATTTCTAGACTCCTACCAAGGACAGTTTAATTTAAGTCTGTTCTGTCATGAATCTAATAATAAACATCATTATTTTCTATAACCGAAGCTACATAGGTAATTACAAGGAAAATGAAAATTGGGCTTGTACTGGTTTTACTGCTGTATGATGTAAAGGGGATTGGATTTGTTTTTTTATTTTCTTATTTTTCTTTGTCCTTGTCCCCATCTATTTTTGTAGAAGTAGCTCAGGTCATATATTTTTGGGCTTTCTTAGAAGACTCTGAGATGTAGTTCCATATTCTACTTGTGACAATTAAGAGGGGGACTGGAAGACTGACTGGTGGAAATTCTTATTCTGCAGAATTGTTATTCTGTAATGATGTGGCAAATTGTTCTTATTAGGCTGCTCCAGATTTTAAATTCACACCTCAAAGAAACCTTATCCAACAGGAGAAAAGTTCTTGGATCTAGTAAAATCGTTAAAGCCTGTTACATGTGTCATAGGAGCTTGTTAGTGAGGGGTGACTCACTGATCTTTCCAAGAGATACAAGAGAGTTACTTTATCAGATACAGATTGCCTGCTAAATATTCTTGGTAGTTTAAAATAAGGATGGCAAAGATGCTTAGAAGTCAATAAAAGCTTAATCTCTAACCATCATTTTTATCCTTAAAAAACCCCCAAACAAACCCCAAGCTCAAATGCTTCAAGTTACACTTTAAAATGGCAATTATTGAAAACTAATCTTTGTAAGTACTTGAAATTTGCACCCTATTTATGTAGTAAATCTGGAAATGAAGATTCTTAACATGTTACATGAACTACAATGGGCCAGTATTGAAAAAAGGTAGGTAGCTTGTGTGCCCAGAAAGTTTTAGGTACTGTGAACGTATATGTGGTATGGTTTGACAGACCCATAACAATTTGTTGTCCTTTAGGCAATCATTCTATCACCCAGTGACCCCTCCCCACCCGGGAAGGGGAATCAGGGAAAAGCAAGGAAACCCAGGAGCTGAAGTATAAACAGATTTAATAGAATAAGATAAGATAATTAACATTAACAGCACTAAAGAACCGATATTAATCCCGACACCAATACAGAATATGCAAAGATTATATTCAGCCAATTGTATCAGTAGGAAGCTGTGCACTCCCAGCAGTGGACAGCAAATGTTGGACACTGCGAGTGCTACAGCTTCAGGAGGAGGGGAAGGCCTCAGGAGTCTGGCACCAGGGCACAAAGTTCTCCGGATGGCAGACATCAAGGGAGAGAGAAGTTTGCAGCAAACTTTCTAATTTATAGTGAACGTGAAGTTGATGGTATGAAGTAATCCTGTTGGCCAGCTTGGGTCAAGTGCCTGGGTCTCACTCCTCCTCATCCCTGCACCTGGCAAGCTTGAAAACACTGAGACCTTGAGACCCACGCACCATAGCTGGCTGTAAAGTAAATATTTTCACAAATTCAGACACTGGAGTCTTCTAAAAGTGCAGTTTTCCCAAGTATTACAATAGAAATTAGTCCTGTGTTGCTCAAACCAGGACAATATGGTATTCTTATTTGGAAAGGAAACTTTGGGAATTATTTCAAGGAAAACGGGAGAGTTGAAAGGAATCAAATATATAAAGCAAGGCAAGGTGAGACCTGACTTTAATGTTCAGAAAATATTAACAGTAAATGTTGATTTAAAAAAAAAAAAAAGCCCATATTTTTCTCATTTGCAGTTGGTTCAGTTACTGTAGTGAGCCCCCTGGAGCTGATCAGAACTAGAATGCAGTATCGCAATTTGTCCTACAATCAACTGTATACATGCATCAGTGGTAAAGTGGCTACAGATGGATGGTTTTCCCTGTGGAGGGGCTGGAGTTCCACTGTTCTGAGAGATGTACCTTTCTCAGGTAGGGTTTATTTTCTGTGAAAGTTTGCGTTATGTGAGAAGATCTGGTTATGCATAATTCTTTTTGACTTATTCTGTGCTTTTAGGTAATTTTAATGGTTAGCTTTAAGAATGACTGAGGTTTACTTGTTCCCCTTTGAGTGTTTTTATTTATAAATTCTTTGAGGACCTGATTTTTTTTTTTTCCTCCCTTTTTGTTTGAGCATACCAGAGGGTTCATTGTTATGTTCCCTTTCTCTATACTTAGGCTGTTTCTTCTCATCTTTAGCTTATGCAATGTTTTTGCAGACTTTCGGTAGGAAATTTTCTCTGTGATAGGTATAGTGGCTATTTCCTTATGGAGAAACATGCTGTATCTAAGTGCTCTGATGCTTAATTCTGAAAACACATATAAAGGGAGAGTGACACAGTAGTGCCTTCAGGAATTTTTGTTAGCAAGGTGAATTAGTGTGTATAACTGCTCCAAAAAACATGAAGGTAGAGCACCACTCATTAGTAAAGCTCCAAAGCTGAAAGTCTAGAAGAAGAAGTCTGATACAGAGAGCTAGTCCTAGGGCTATTCCTTAAGATAACCAGGACAGAGTCTAGTTGGAGGTTAGTAACAAGTGGTGTCCCTCAGGGGTCAGTACTGGGCCCAGTCTTGTTCAACATATTCATTGATGATATGGATGAAGGGATAGAGGGTACCATCAGCAAGTTTGCTGATGACACAAAAATGGGAGGAGTGGCTGACACGCCAGAAGGCTGTGCCGCCATACAGCGAGACCTGGACAGGCTGGAGAGTTGGGCAGAGAGGAACCTTATGAAATTCAACAAGGGCAAGTGTAGGGTACTGCATCTGGGGAGGAATAACCCCATGCACCAGTACAGGTTGGGGGCTGACCTCCTGGAGAGCAGCTCTGTGGAAAGGGACCTGGGAGTCCTGGTGGACAACAGGATGACCATGAGCCAGCAATGTGCCCTGGCGGCCAAGAAGGTGAATGGCATCCTGGGGTGCATCAAGAAGAGTGTGGCCAGCAGGTCGAGGGAGGTCATCCTCCCCCTCTACTCTGCCCTGGTGAGGCCGCATCTGGAGTACTACATCCAGTTCTGGGCTCCCCAGTTCAAGAAAGACAGGGAACTGCTGGAGAGGGTCCAGCAAAGGGCAACGAAGATGATTAGGGGATTGGAACATCTCTCATATGAGGAAAGGCT